ATGAGAAGGAGATGCGGCCGAGGATGTGTGAGAGGTCGGACCTCGCCGTCGTGCGCGGTCGCCAGCGACGTCGGTCGAGCCGGTTCCACTCGACATGGGTCGCGCTCGTCGTGAACGCGCAGAGTGTTTGCACGGGCTTTTGCGGCGTGCGAATGTCCCAGAGATGCGTCTTCGTGTCGGCCGAGCACGTCGCGAGGATCGTGGGCTCGGACGGCGACCACGCGACGTCGCTCACGGGCCGTGTGTGGGCGCGCAGCGTCGCAATGAGAGGCTGGTGGCTCGAGAGGACGCCCTGGAAGCCGTTGTTCGTGTTGTTGTGGTCAATGTTCCAGAGCAGCGTGTTGTGGTTCGACGTCGAGGCCACGAGTCCCTTATAGAGCACGTGCGGGTTGCACTTGACGACCGTCACGTCCCATTTGGTCTACGCTACGCATGAGCCACGCGCTGATAGAGTATGTACTACCTGATGATGCAGCGTGCGCGACGGCTGGTACGGCGACTCGAGGTCGATGACGTAAAGGCCTTTCCGAGCGGCGAGGACCGCGACGCTGCCCGTGGCATCGACCGAGAGCGTGCTCGCGTTCACCTCGATCTTGACGTTGAGATCGTTGTGGATCGTCGAGTCAGTCCACGTCGTCGACTGCGAGCTCGAGCTGCGGCTTAAATGGGGCGGCTTCTCCCCGAGCAGCATCATCCTCGCCCAAGGCTGCCGTCGAAATGGCACGTCAAAGGCCATTGGCCAAAAATCGAACAACCAACGCACCAATCCAAGGTCGCCATTCTCGACACTGCGGCTAAGCTGGACCGCAGATCGCAATGAGATTTGAACGCTTCAACAACAAGACGTGGCGCTGTCGTAAGCTAGTACAAAAGAGGAATATAAGATGGAAACACTGCGTACAAATGAGGAAAGCAGTGGGTGAGCCTGGCCCGATGCACAAGCCAACAGCAGTACAGTGTAAACCAGCCTCCTTTGCCAGCTTGCGCTCAATTCGATATCGTTCAACAGCAGTGCTGAATCGGCTTTAACCGCTCCGGATGAGCCCGCGGACGAATATACGCATGCACGCAGACTCAGCACGCGCCACGGCCATGCGTTAGCAGAACATAGAACACAGAGGGTTGTTGGAATGGTGTGCCCTTGTAGAGTCAAAGACATCAGCGCCGAGGAGCCTTAAGGTGTCCGCCCCCGCTTAACCATCCAGACAACAGACAACATTTGACCGTGATGAGGACAATAGATGACGCTAGTAGAACGGAAGGACTCGCCGAGCCGCGAGCTTGAATCTGCGCAATTGCAAACTGTCGACACAATCCTGCCTTCTTGATCGTACCCTAGGACTCATAAGTAGTATCGCAAGATCGCGCTGAGGTTAGAATAAACACGTACAGGAAGTCGGAATGAGGGCAGTCGGAATGGTGGAGAATATTGTCAGCGAACGTCCGAACAACCATGTGCCAGGTGCGCCTTTTGCACGATGAGGTGCGCTTTGTGCCCACCCAAGGATTTTTCCGTTTCATCTGGCATATTATCCGGCAGCCGGATACCCCCTTCGCGCCTCGATGCGCGCGTGTGATTGGTGGAAATTGCATTTTCGAATCGGCCAGTCGGAAGCGAGACCAAGGCAGGCGATGGAGACGGCAAGCACGGCGACCGC